GCGTTGAAAAATCTTCGATTTTATCACCAAATATCCACAGCACATTATGAAAATTCCAGCAAATAGGTACTTTAATACACGTACGTCTGCTGAAAGAGAGCTCTGTTCCACATTTATGACAACATGACGTTCATTGTCCATTTTTGTATCCACCTTTCCATCCCTCTCTGTTGTTTTGAGTGTACTGCTACCGGTTGTGGTTTTGAGTTCCGTTAAATCGAGCTTTGAATTTATTTCCATTGTTACTTCAATATTAATGGTATTTGATTTCTGTCCGTGACGACAATCGACTTTTTCGATGTTTGTTTTGTTCGTTGGATAAATAATTAATTTTACTTTATCTTGCCATGGTGGTAGAAACGTTGCCAAATAATCACAAGAGAAATGATTTCTTGAAATGCCCAAAGCAGATAGCTTCGGGAAAATCGCTCGATTCACACTATTTATCTCAGTCAATTCATTTCCTTCCAAACGAAGTGTTTCTAAACATAAGAAGTTTCTGTACAATAAAGTGAAATTGACTTTCTGCAGACGATTAAAGGACAAATCGAGAACTTCCAAATTCCTTTGATGATAGAAAGTGCTGAAATCGAAATTCGATAAATTTGTGTGGCTTAAATTGAGATACACCAAATTTTCGAATCTTTCGAATGTCTCGGCTATAATTGGTCCAATGAAATTTGATGAGAGATCGAGTGTTTTGATTGATGTTCCCACAAAATCGATGACTTTCGGAGCGTTTTTCAATTGATTTTCAGAAATATTCAAGAAAGTAAGCTTTTGGAACTTTTCCTTGCCTATAGGAAATTCGAAGCTCTTTTGTGGCACACGAACAATTATTTCATCTCTTTGATCCAAATTAAATTCGACTGAATTTTTGAAGCAACTTGTACTGAGCTCATCCACATTAGCCCAAGTAAAATTTACTACAGCTTTGTTCATTATTGGTATGAAAATATTGCAATCGACGCGCCTCAGTGGATTATTCTCCAAATGCAAACTTTTCATTTTTTTGTTATTTTCAAACAAGTGTTCATCGAATGTTGCAATTGAATTATGGCTCAAATCCAATGTGATCAGTTCACCAAGTTTGGAAAATGTGTCGGCATTCACATACGAAATCGATGCTTGACTTAAGTAAAGATGTTTTAGTTTGATAACTTTGCGAAATATATCGGCACTTAATGTGTTATCATGAAAAAAGTTGAACGACGCGTCTAATGTCTCTAATCTTGCACCAAATTTAGAAAATATCTCTTTCATGTTTGATATGTGATTGTTGGAGATATTGAAATATGTTATGTTTTGAATATTTCCTGTCAATATCATGATGTTTGGTCTGTCAATATAATCATAATAATGATTACGAAGCATGGATTCTTTGAGAAAAACTATATTTTCACCGTCAATTTCGATTTTTATTTGATTTGAATTAATTTTTGTTATGGAACTTATGTCGAATTCTCCAACATTTTCCCAGGAAATATACACCCTCGTAGAGTCTACCGACTTTTCTATTATGTTGTAACCAAATCGTTTAATTGGGTTATTTTTCAAGTGCAAAAATTGCAATTTTGTGTTGAATTTAAACGTAGCCCTATTGATAGTTGTAATGAAATTGTTGCTCAAGTCCAAAGTTGTCAATTTATTTAATTCCAAAAATGTATTGAAACCAAAATTCGAAAGTTGAGTGTTGCTGAGATTGAGATA